CCCAAGGCGCTGAGAATTACTGCAGAGGAGATAGCTGGCTCGCTCACTAAAATATACAATCAATTTTGGATTGGAAAAGGGGAGAATGGATTCCAATACATAAAAAAGATGATCCCTTATCAAAGGAAAACTACAGACCGGTTACTATATTGATCGCTGTTGATAAAGTGCTCGAACAGCTTCTATGCAAGCAACTATGTGAATTAACAGATAAGATCTTTGATGATTTTATGTCCGCGTATAGAAAATCGTATAGTTGCGAGACCACTCTAATTCGTCTAGTGGAAGACTGGAAACATGACCACAATAAAGCCGTAGGAGTCTTATCATCAGATATGAGTAAAGCTTTCGATTCCATGTATCCACCATTGCTGCTCTCCAAACTTCGAGCATATGGTATGTCAAATAGTTCCTTGGCAATCCTGGAATCATACTTTAAGGAGCGTAAAAACAGGGTAAGACTTAGCAATAATGCTAGCAGCGATTGGAAAACTGTTACTCGTGGTTGCCCACAGGGTTCCTCTTTGGGACCAGTTTTGTGGAATATATATCAAAACGATCTATTCTATGAGAATATTAGCTCACAACTCTCAATGTATGCAGATGACCACCAACTCTATTCTTTAAGATTACAGGATGCCCTTTTTGGCGTTTTGCGGAAAATCGCTACTGCGCGCTCAATATCAGTCCGATTTTCATCAAATTTTCACCAGATGTTCTCCAGTGCATGCAAAATATGGTAATGTTGTAAAATTAACAAACAACAAAATAATGTAAGAATTATTCAGGAAAATGTTAAATCGCGGTACCGTTACGCTTTTGAGTTATGCTCCTGCTGGTTTTAAGTTATATTTATGAAAATATCATTTTTATACAGTAAAATAGTTGTCCTAAAAAATTGTGTTAGGAAATTTTTGTTTATTTCGTCATTCCGCCGATATGGCAATTTCTTTGACGACTGCAATATATTTCTGAATTGTTTAAGTGAATTGCTCTTTATTTTAAAAATATCCAAAATTAAAAAAAAGCCAAACAGAATTTTGAAACTGACGTCTTTAGCTATGTCCTGTGTCCACAACTCGTTTGAAAATGAGTAATTACCGTAAACTTTTTCGAGAGAAAAATTGAATTTGAATATTACATTTTCAATGTTTTTCTTATTGCAGCGAAATGTATTTTATTAAATAACTCTGCGAGTTTTCAACATTTTTCGTTCAAACTTGGTCAGATAGTAGAACTAGTCTAATGCTTTCATGGAAACCAATAAAAAAATTTTAGGCAAAATTAACACTCAAAGGTGTTCTGTAACCTTAAATCAAACAATCGAAGAGGCATCAATGGTGCTGGAGATGGATGGAAAAATTACGGGAGAATGGTATAGATAAACCATTTGGAAGCCAACCTTAGTAAATACCAGGTTATGATGATGAACAAAGGTAATGGCAATATTACAGACGTGGATATCCATAACTATACAATACGTCAAACGGAACAGATTACGCTTCTTGGAGTAACTTTGGATAAAGATCTAAACTTCTCAGAACATGTGTCTTCTATTTGTAAGACAACCAGCAAGAGAATTGGAGTATTGATGAGGCTTCGGAAGCTGATACGAACCACAGCAAGACTACAAATATATAAAGCAGCTATTATGCCATACTTCAATTACTGTAGTCTTGTATGGCATTTTTGTAAGGGAAGTGATAAGAATAAACTAGAGCGAACTAATGAAAGAGGGCTAAGAGCAGTTTTTTGCGACTGGGGTTCCTCTTACGCAGTGCTATTAACGAAGGCTAATATGACCACATTAGATAATATTCGGTTGCAAAATATAGCAATCTTTATGTATAAAATTAAACATAAACTGTTGCCAAACAATATTCTAAATTTATTTGAAAGTACTCAGTCAACTTATAATCTTAGGAACTCTGACTTTCGTCGCCCTAGATTTAATGGGGTCAAATACGGCAAACATTCCTTAAGATACTTCGGTCCATATTTATGGGACAAATTTTTAAGAACAATATCAGGAAAGCAGATTTGGCCGACTTAGTTGACACCAATTCTTGTAAGAATTGTGCCATATGTAGCATTTGGCACTATAATATTTAAATTAAATTAATTAGATTATGCATGATATGAATATGTAAATAGATAAATTAGCTAGACGTAATCGCTTTATATTATTGTAAATAGGATAATTTTAAGTGTCCCCGATTAGTGAAAGTTGATCTTTGGCTATAAGACATGACACATTAATAAAGTTATCAATCAATCAATCAATCAATCATGAAAATCATTCTTTGTGAAAGGTTACCGTGTTTTAAATAAGATTAATAATAATAGTAATGATAATAATAATAACAATAATAATAATAATTTATAAATGAGGATGATATAGTGCATGAGAGTTAGCAATCACGCCACCTTGGTTTAATATCTGCCCCCTTATATTCTTTCCCAACACTATCATGTATTCAAGCTTTTTGATAATAACTGCGTGTGCTCGGCAAGTTCCGCGAGCAGTTAAAGTAAGTCGCCATCCAATGGGATGCATGCATCTAGTAACTTGCCAAGCATGCGCACAAAAAAGTGGGTACACTAGTTATAACTCTGTTTAGTATAATTACATAGGTGATTATTGAAAATTCTCCACGCTGATTGGTTGCCAATGAGGTGATTATTACGCGATAATCACCTAAGCGATTTTCAAAATGACGGCCAAAGCCTTTTTGTCAATTAAATGACGAAGAAATGTGTATTTTCTTATTTTTCCCAAATAATCACCTATGAAATTATACTAAAACAATTATTCACCTCAGGTTCGGTGATTATCGTGAATAAAAACCTCGACTTCGTCTCGGTTTTTATACACCGATAATCACCTCGCCTTTGGCGAATAAT